CCCCAAAACCCCAAAACCCCAAAACCCCGTGATTATTTAAGTAAATTGGCGGATTAACTTAGGCTAAGATGGCTTCCTGGTGACTATAGTTTTAAATTCTCCTGCATAATTTTTACTATTAATTTAGCTTAAAAATGCACTGTTTTTTCTGAGACTTCTCTTTATTCGTATGGGAAGAAAACTCACTGTGTTCATTTGTTTTTATACTTAGGAAAGTTAATAAGATGGCAGATCATTTTACTGAGTTTTTAGCTTATACATAATCATCAATTAGTGTCAGAGCTCCACTAGTTTTGTTGCTCAAAATGTTATGTGTCTATTTAAAAGGGAAAGCTTGAAGCCATTGGAGTTTGAAAAGATGTTTAGACCATTAGAATGAGTCTGAAAAACTTAATGTGTTGATAGAATATTCAGCCTTGAAGACTTTACCTACATGTACAACTTCATGTCTGGAATTTTATTAGAGATATATTTCTTTTTGCTAGATGAAGAAGAATAATATAGCCAAGTATTAGGAATACTGCGTTACAATTTTTGGGTTTAAAACAGACAGACTTGGTTACAATACTTCTAGTTTATAATAATGCTGTATTGATTCCTGAGCCTTTATATTTCTGCAATCGTAAATAGTAAATTTTGTCAAGTGTGATAAATCGGTTTAATAACTTTGTGATATCCTCTAATTTTCGTAGACTGGGTGGATAATGATTTCATCATATATAGTTTGAGGAATTCATAGCTAGAGCTCTTCTGAGAAATTCTGAATTATAGGTTTATTTATTGTTAGCGACCTGACGAGCCTTGCAAGCTCTCCTTTACCTTTATGAGAAATCATGAACATAAGACAGATTGTAGGTTCCAAAAGCTTCAAAGCAGTACTTATGTCGAAGGCTTTTTCCAATATTTCCATACCCATAATATTCTCCAAAACTTGCAACTACTTAAATAGCTATGCGAATCAAATTGAAGCTTGCGATTATTTCTAGACTCTGATACTCGAGCACAAGCCTAGACTCTAAGCCTGTTACCTCATTAGCTAGTATTTGAGTTTATTCCAATGAATTCACGGCTATACTTTGGAGTCACCTATTGTTTAACAGCTAGAAAAGTTCAATTAATTGCATGTTATTAAAACTGCAAAGACATATGATAATCCTTATTGTGGCAACTTTTTATTAAGCTATTTATTACATTAAGGGGATCAGGATCGGGCTATTATTGATTAAAGCCAAAGATGATCCAGGGAGTTCTGTATAGAATTTCAATCTGTCACAGTTTTCATTAGCAGCATTCCTAGTAAATAGAGCAACTATAGTCTTAGGTCTGCAGATAATCAAGCTGGTTCTTGAACCTCCAGTACAGTTTTGAAATATAATTTTTCATCTCAATATTCATAAGGATCTAATGCTTTATGATCATCTGGAACCAAAGGGAAGCTATAGTTTCGAAAATTTCTGATTCGCCCTTGAAATATTCTACTATTACCTGATTTTGTGGGATGTCTTGAAGCAGGTATTACTTTCCTATTATAGTTGCAAATCTATTATTATTCTCAACTCGCATATCCATGGATGGGCTGCACGGTTATTTTCCTAGAGAGATTTTATCCCCCAGAAATGCTAGTGAGATTCATGAATATTCAATCATTTAAAAATATGTTGACCACTATATTTCAAATCTGATTTATTAGCAAAGAAAGAACCATGGATAAATAATTGGAGTTATTCAGACTCATCGGATTTCGTCCTTTGCTCTAGTATGTTTCTATTTGAGGGAGAAATCATACGGAGGGATATCCTTAAAAACTAGTAGTACCTTCAGACTGAGAGGATGTTACAAGTTATTCACTGTTAATCCTCATTGGTGTATCTCTAAATATTATACCAGAAATTCAGCTTTATTTTCGTGAAGCATACTTTGTTCTCAGCGCACAGAGAGAGGTCTTCATGAGTCTAGTCTGAAGAAAGTTATGAAAATATGAATATTATTAGCAGAAATTTGGGTCTATTAGAACCCTTCGAATTTATATTTTTAAATACTGGAAAAATAAATTGTATGGCAAAGGTGATGGTTGATTATATAAAACATCTTCTTTTCCTTACTATGAAGTTGGAGGACTGAGCTGTGAGGTTGCGATATATTCACCATTCACTTATGATTTTGGATTATAAACCAAGTTTTTTACTTTAATAACTATTGTTACTAATCTGGCCATAATGGCTAAGTTCCTATACCAAAGAAGAGGATTGTTGGGTAATTTATTATGAATAATTAATTCGATATGGACAAATCATGAGATACTTGCAGTTAGAGCAACATATCAGAGAGAATTTTTGAGGAGCTGATTTGTTGTTTATGCTTGCAGATATCCTCCCATTTGGTATTCAAAGTAATTCTCTTTGGCTCCTGCTGAGACTTCATCCTGGTTGGTACTATGCACATAAGATTGTATAAGATTTCTTCCTGTTCAGACTGGCCGTCAACACTAACAGAAGAGTTTGAGCAGACATATTGGTTTTTGACAATTATTGAATCTGAAGAAGAACTTCTTCCAAACTTTCTGGTTGGAGAATGATTTTGTAGCTCGTTTGTAAAAGTATTCTTGATGCTCTCAGATTCGCGTACGCCATTAGACTTTATTGGTAGCGTATACTCATCTGCTATGTTACACAAGGAGTCATCCCAAATGTTCGATGAAGAGATGTTATTGGGAGTTTGCGTGTTCATATTTATGGTTGAATTATTAATATTATCATCAATCCTTCTTTAATATTACGGGGTTTTGGGGTTTTGGGGTTTTGGGGTTTTGGGG